CAATTAATTACGTGATCGATTTTTTGAAGGAGAATGTTTTTGGAGTGAATAAAATTATGAGATTTGTGAACATAAATCTGGCTTAACATTTTGAATGCGTTTCCTTCAACATTTTACAAAACACTTAAATTGCAACAATAATGTATTTGTGTTTGTTTTTAGTCTGCTGCATTTGTATTTCGAGAATGTTTCAAACTCTTCTAAATTGTGAAACATAATGTGTTGATTCCATTAAAAAAAATATTTGCCCTGTGACTGAGCTCACTAATATTCATAATTGTAAATAAGTTCTGTTAATCAATGAAGGAAAGATATGTAAATGATATGCAAATTATTATGCAAATTAGCCCCGGCTATGCATTTTTTCTGGGGAGAACCCTGGTATACTATATATATACGCCTGGACGCCCTTTTATTAATAAACAACTGATAAATGATGTGTGAAAGTTTCACTCAAAATAAACAAGAATTGTGTATTTAGATTTTTGCTTTCATGGTAAACTGAAAAACACAAGTAAAGATAATGGCTAATTTGCATAACCATTCACTTAAAGTAAGAAGTTTGCTAATGCTCATAATTAAAATGGCTGTAATAGTTCCAAATTTAAACCTATTATTCTTTTCTAATAAGTTAAATATAGTGCATGATATGGAGATACCGTTATTACTTTTTTTCGACATGTTTCGTTTTGATTATTTATGTACAGCCTTGCTAAATCTTGCTAAGCATTCAAAAGAGAGAATGTTTGCACCTGTTTTCTGTATTTTAAAATCGTCTTTTGAGTATGTTCCACTATTCATAATGCTGCAAAATTTGTACAGTCTATAGCCAAGACTGTTTAGATAATAAAAAGCAAAAAAAAAAAAAAATTCGATCCCAAATGCCCACGATCCTGAATCTATAGCTTAAACTTTCAAGAAAATGTTTTATATTTGTATGACGGTACATACATGTCCATGCTTTATATTTCACATCTCATGACAGCAGGGTTCTCCCCAGGGCTTTTTAGCGCCGAGGTCCGCGGCGCTATACCTGTGAATCTCGGCGCTTCACTTGGGACCTCGGCGCTATGTGTTCCCACCTCGGCGCTTGATTTCATATTTGACATGCCAATATCAGATGTGAAAAAGCTTTGTTCGCCACGCCGGTCGGCGCCGACCGTCACTCAAAATTAGTGACCACCACGGAAATGCTTCCGACGAGGACTATTGTCTGATTGTTGGTATAATTACGTACCGACCGACACGCATCCTGCCAGTCGTGGATTATAATTTATAAACAATAGACCTAGTCGCACGATACGTAGCGGCTAGTCAAATTTGTGGAATTAGCACCTCTTTGTTTGTAAGTAAATACTTTCTGCGATAGACAGTCTTTAGATTGAAAGCTAAAATTATTTCAAAATCAATTCCACCTCAATATAACATGGTCAAATCGGAGTTCACGATCAGTTCACGCTACTCAAGAAAAAAACAACGTGTTTATTGCGTGATTTGGTAAAATACATTTGAACTGTTATCATTTCGAATCATGTAAAAACTCTTCTTTCAAGACCTAATTGACCTTTTTAAAATTGCAAATCACCTCTTTCGAAAGCTGTCATGCAGTTTTCAATTGAATCGATGCCACACATCG